TGGACCACTCCTCATCCCAGGAAAGGGGATAATAAGGGGAGACAGAGACTGCCATCAATCCCCGCCTCTCCTAGAGGTCTGGCCTCTAGCTGCGTCTCTGCCACTCATTGGCTGTTCGCCCTTAGGTAAACTGCTTCCTCTCTCTGGGCCGGCTTCCCCGTTTATCCTAACGCGATCAGATCTCTGGGTAGACTTGCTACTCTCCCATACCGGCGTAGTCAAGGAGGCTTCTCACACCCCGAACTTATGGGAGAAATCGACCCGCTTTCTCTGTCTCCCCTGCCCTGACTGTTCCCCGGCCCAGGGGAGCGGGTGGGGCCAGATTGAAAAGTCCTAAGCACTCTTTAGATGCCGCAGAGAAATGTTTAAGGGATTTGCGCGCTCAAGCTGCGGGGTAAATGGCCCGCGGGCTGATTTATGGCGCGTTACCGCGCGACGCGATTCCCCAAGACAGCGAGAATATTTTACACCGCGCTAATATAAACAGGCGGCCGGCCGGGTCCTTTTTATGGAGTTCCTGTAATTACCCGGGCCCTGACAGGTCCTTGATTTACGGCCCTATTTAGATAAGGGGTCCGGTGCGGGGATTGCCGGTGGCGTCAAGGTCACGGGACGCGGCGGGAGAAGGTTTTGCGGTAGGCGCCGCGGCGCGGACTCTCGGGCCTTCCAGTCCCGGGGTGTGGGGTCCGAGTGGGAGTGAGGGGAGGAGTGGGGCAAGGGCAGGAGAAGGACCCCAAGGCCCAGGCCGAAGTCACTCCTGGGCGTCTAAGTACAGCCAGTCCACTGCACAGACGGGGGAACTGAGTCTTTGAGGGGCCGGAACTACCCCGGATCAGACAGCCAATGAAAGGCGGGTGGGTGGGATCGGGAAGGAATTCGGGTCTCTGGCAGCATGACCCCCACACCTGGCAGTGCTCGGTCTCTCTCACCTCCAGCCTTATGGCAGTGGGGTTCTGTAGCGTAGGTAGTTGGGGAAAGAGGAAAATTCCAGTGCGGTCAGAAACAGGCTTGGTCAGATCGGGACACAGCACTTCAAGCAGAGACCAGTGGCCTGGACCCCCTCCCTATCCAGGGCTATGCAGTCGTGTGGACGCCCGAAACTCCATTTCTTCCCCTGTTAGATTAATTCCCAAGCCAGAGCCACCGTTTATCCATCCAGGTTTACTGTTATTTTGCTAAGAGCTTCACCTATATTATTTCAATTAATCTTAAACTAGCACTCTGGGCGGGTGTTACTGTGTCCCAGTTTACAGAGGAGGAAACTGAGGATCCTAAGGTTTACACAAAGAGGGGTGACAGTGCCCAGATTTCAACCCGGGTGCACCAGTTTCCACGGCCAGCACTCCTCTTAAGCACTCCTTTACTACACTTTTTAAACCTCTTTGTGCTTAAGCTCTCAACCCTGTAAAATGGGGGAAGAGTTCTTGCCCGACCTCACTAGCACAATCGGAGGAAAAAGCGCACATTTGCAAACGCCGCGAGTGTCAGACCTTCAGCAGGAGCTATCTGGGTGAGCACTGCGGGGTACCGGAAGGGAGGCGGGGCTGGGGGAGTGTGGACCCGCGCGTAGGCCCCTCGGAGTCCCCAGCTTCTGACCCTTGGTCTGTAGACGGTCCCAGAACGGAGCGCTAAGTCCTCGGAGAGAGCAACCAGGGTGGGGTCCTTGTAACAGTCCAGAGCTGGGAATTAAAACTCCAGACTATCAGTCCTATCCCTTTCTGAAATTGGGGAAACTGAGGCTCAGAGAGGGAAAGGAACGCACGTTCAGCCGACAGCTGTTTTGGCCAAACTCCTGGGTTGCACACCATATAACCTGGGGCGGAGAGAGAGAACGTCCTCACTGGGTCCCCACGGTCGTGTTTCGCTGCACTGCAAACGCACCTGAGCCAGGCTGGAGTTAAAAGCACTTCGGGATCTCCCAGAAGGCCTTGGCTGGAGCCTAGGCGCCTTGCGGTCTACGCAGGCGATCTTGGTGGCGTCCATCCTGCTGGAGGCCGCCAAACCCGAAGCTCCAGCGGGTCCCCTAGGGCTGCGTTCCCACTGAGGGCGCCGCTGGGCTGACAACTTGACTCCTTCACAGGCGGGGGTGGGGTGGAGTGGGGGGTGGAGTGGGGGGTTCTGGGGAGGAGAGCAGTATTTTCTAAAGCCCAGATGACTAGGGGCACCCTGCTCTTACCCACAAGAGGCTGCCAGGCATTCTCAGGGCCCTCAAGGGGACTCATCATCCAGTATTGATAATGCATTTCCTACCACACTAAGCAGGCCGGATATGGGGGGGGGGGTGTGTGGAGTGCTCTGAGGGATCTAGGTAAGGTGGGGGAAATACCTGGGATGTGCGTGAGTGGGTGCTGGAACTGTGAATTTGTAGGGTAAGTGCCAGGATCCATATGAGCGCTGCACCTTATGTGGGTACTGTGATACTGTGCATGTGTTGCTCAACTTCGTTTTCAGGGCTGGTGAATGTGGCTGCCTATAGGTAAGACAGAATATACGTCAAAGTGTCTAAGGGTTTGCAATTTGGGTGACTGCGTGTAGTGTGCAAACATGCGAAAACGTCTACGTCGGAGCACCTGTGTGTACGCGGTAGTAATTGTGGCTGTGTGCCTGGGTGTGTGTGTTGGACTGAAGCCTTAGTTTCCACACTGAGAATACACGAAATGCATGGTGGCGTTTTCAGCAGTTTGTGCTGTGGAGACGATTGTGGGGAATTGTAAGAAAATACAAATTGGTGAACCTGTGCACAATTGTGGGCCAAAGACTATGTGTAAAACCCTGCAGCCGGGTGATACTTTTGTAGAGTCCGTGTGCCTCTGCTGTGTGATGGTATCTTTATGCGTGCCTGCTTAGAGGGTGGGGAGTGGCTCGTAGCTGTAACACAGCTGAGCCAGGATGTGTGCCCTGTGGGTGACAGAGACAATGCATACAATTCTAGGAATGCATGGATATTGAAATGCTGTGTGTCTCATGGCTGTACATGTGTTACCGTGAGAATACCCATACTTCTGGGCATCTGTATAAGTAGATGGACTTTTGTGTACGCCAGGGATTTTTGTGAGCCTTGTGCGCCTATATGTGCACGTGTCATGGTGAGCCCCCGTGTGCCAGCTGCGAGATGCTGCGGGTGGAGATCGCTCGGATTAGGGCAAACGCTGGGTGTGTGTGTTGAGGACTGAGGTCCCTCTCCACAGGGTAATTACAGCTTTCTACCCGCACACCCTCACTCAAGAGTGCCTCCAGGCCAGGGAGGCTCGGGACCCCGTGGAGCCGGGGCTGAACCGGGCGCCGGGAGCTCCCTCCCGGTGAGCCTCCGGCTCTGCGCTCGGCCCAAACCCCAGCGCTGCTGGCGCCAGGCGCCCGGGAGAGCGGCGGGTTTCCAGCCCGCCTCAGGCAGGAAACCAGGACCTCCCTTCCCCCCACCCCCACGCACCTCTAGGGCCCACAGCCCAGCCGAGCTCCCACAAGTGGAACCTGCTCAGAACTGTTTGTCCGCCTCTGTCCTGTAGTGTCCCCGCCTCTATCCATTGATTCCCTTGTACAGGAGAGGAAGACCACATCTCCACTTGCTACCAACCCCAGAGAAAATGGCTCATCGTCTCTGGGCCTCACCTTTCCTATCCCTACGAGGAGAGAGTTGACCTTTCTCCCTCTGCCTCTGTACTCCTTAGTGTGCCAGGCACATCATGGGCGGTCAATAAACAATGTTGAATGACTGCATAAAGGAATGAATTTGCCCTCTAAAAAGAGCAATCACATATTTATCTCCGCCCTCCCCGCTCCCTCCCCCCCCCCGCCTGAGCATCACTTTGGAGACAGGCACACTCCCTCTGCCCCAGCTAGGGAAGGGGGTTGGCTGGGGAGGGTTGGCTCGGATGGAGGGACTCAGGTATGAGGGCGTCAGTTGCGAAGCTACTTCAATGGGAGAAGCAGCACGACCCTGGGATTTTCAGGTCCCAATGAGAGCCCTGGGAAAGGCCCCTGAGGAGAGAACCCAACAGACCCGGAGAGGCCCTAGCTGGGAGGGGCAAGAGTGGAGGTCTGCACCGCCAGGATTTCTCTCTGCTCTCCTGGGTGGGGGATGCCAGCGTGGTAATTCTCTGGCTGCGCCAGCCTTGCGAATAGTGCGGAGGTCCTGGTCCCTTCTGTATGTGTTCACTGCCAAGCGCCGATTTCTCTCGCTGCGAGCCTTGGCTCTGGTGTGAACATTCTCAAGCAGGGATGACCTAGGTGGAGTGGCCCAACGTAGCTGGGCTTCGGGCTCTCCATCCGGCCTTTGGGCTGGATCAGGCGCCCGGGAGGCCAGAAGAGTGACTCCCAGGCCCTGGAGCCCGGAACAAATCAGTAAATGCCTGTGGGCTTGGAGCCTGACTTCCTCCACCCCCCTCCCCCACACACCAAGTCTTCTCCAGCCCTGGGCGGGCTGTGGGACCGTGTAGATGCCTTGGGCAGAGTTGGCTGGTGCGATACTGGGTTGCACAGTACCGCTCAGGGCCCCCGCTGCATGGGGCTGATGACTAGGGGCTGGGGGTGCTTCGGGGAGACGTTAGGGGTCTGTGCTGCCTCCGGCAGGGCCTTCTCATCTTCTGACGCTGAGGGGAGTAGATGGAGCTCAGGACTGAGAAGGGCTAGAATTCCTATTCTGAATTCTGTACAGTCTAGAAACAAGACACTCTTTCCCCGAGTCTCAGTTTCCCTATCTGGAAAATCAAGGGGTGGGCTCTAGGTGAAGGCCTTCTGTTCCCGGATGATTCTGGATTCCTTTCCCTGGCTCCACAGGGAGGAGGGGGCAGCCACCGTCTAGGGTGTTGACAGGCCTGTGCCTCAAGTACGGAGCCCCCGCCTCCCCCCAGCCAGGAACTGGGGGTGGGGAGGCGGAGGCGGGGCCGCCTCCCTGTCCCCGCAGGCGGCCTAGAGTCGAGCGGTGCTGGCTAGCCGAGCTTAAAACCAGGGACGGCCACCCCCTTTCCTCCTCCCCGCCCCCCTACCATTGGCTCCAGGGAGAGGTTGACATCCAAGCCGCGGCCTTATATAAGCCAGACCCTGAAGGGGAGGCCGCAGAAGGGTTAAATAGGTCTCCCGGCCTCGGCGTCCCAGCGCGCGAGAGGCCAGCGGGCTGCGCGCCTCTCTTCAGCCTTGCCCCACACTGCCCCAGAGCCGGCGTCCAGCAGAGCGCCACCCCGGAGCCCACGGGTGGCCCCGGCAGTCTGTGGGGCGCATGGGGCGGCGCTAATCGCGCTGGCGGCGCAGGCCAGAGGCCGCTCCAACATGAACCTCGTGGGCAGCTACGCACACCATCACCACCATCACCACCATCACCACCCACACCCAACGCACCCCATGCTCCACGAACCCTTCCTCTTCGGCCCGGCCTCGCGCTGTCACCAGGAGCGGCCCTACTTCCAGAGCTGGCTGCTGAGCCCCGCTGACGCTGCCCCGGACTTCCCCGCCAGCGGGCCACCGCCCACGGCCGCGGCGGCCACCGCAGCCTACGGTCCGGACGCCAGGCCCGGCCAGAGCCCCGGGCGGCTGGAGGCGCTCGGAGGCCGCCTGGGCCGGCGGAAAGCCTCAGGACCCAAGAAGGAGCGGAGGCGCACAGAGAGCATTAACAGCGCGTTCGCAGAGCTGCGCGAGTGCATCCCCAACGTGCCTGCGGACACCAAGCTCTCCAAGATCAAGACTCTGCGCCTGGCCACCAGCTACATCGCCTATCTGATGGACGTGCTGGCCAAGGACGCACAGGCCGGCGACCCCGAAGCCTTCAAGGCCGAACTCAAGAAGGCGGATGGCGGCCGCGAGAGCAAGCGGAAAAGGGAGCTGGTAAGTCCGGGGCCTGCGGGCTCCGGCCCAGGGTGAGGGCTGGGTCAGCACCCGCAGGCCCCGTTCGCAGTGGAAGGAGTCTGCGTTGCCGTGTGTGTGATTTTGAGAGGCTGCGGGGAATTCTGAGGCTGTAGTGTGGGATTGTGTGCGTGGTGGGAGGCGGATTCATGTTTGAGCTCATTTGTAATGTGGGACAGTCTTTGTAAGGCTGTGAATGAAGACCATCCTGAAAGGATCCCTTTTAAGGATCCTTTGGAAGATGCGGACCCGAGAAAATGCACATGTCTTATATTTTGCTTCCAATTTCAAGGGGGTCTGATCCATTCCTGGGCTTTCCTGGAATTCACGTTAAGAATGCTGTAGAAGTGTTTAATTTGCCTTAGTGGGGGTTTATGCACGTGGACTCAGTTACTGTTTTCAAAGGGTTTTTGCTGAAGAGGCTAGGCTACTTCCATTGTTGTACGGATAGGGAAACTGAGACCCAGAGTGGGACTGGGAGGTAGAGGCCACACACCGAGGAGTCAGAGGTGGAACTGGGGTAAAACAAGTCAGGTCTTCTACTCCCAGTCTAGAACGGGTCCACTGCTCCACTGGCCACGAGCTAGTTCTGAGGGCGACCTTGACCGTTTGGTGTGTAAACTCTGACAAGCAAGAGGCACGGGTCTCCCCCACTGCGTTTGGCTTTGGAGATCGCAATCCCTACTCGACCTTTCTCGATCCTCTCCAGGAAGGGCAACACTTTCTGGAGGGCGGTGCCGCTGGCCCAGGGCTCTGGGACCTCTGAGGGCGGTGATTGCCAGGCTAGCGAACTCGCTTCTCTAAATTGGTGTGTTCAGGCCCGCCGCAGCAAGTTTGGAGTCAGCCAGAATGCCCTGCCAGGTCTTCTTTGACTCGCAGGGGCCTGTGGTAAACTAGGGAAAGCTCGCCTGGGGAGACTGGGCAAGATCGATACGCATCGGGTCTCTAAACTGCCACCAGGGTGGAGGAGAGGCAGGCCGGGGCGACACCTGGTTGCAAGGAGTTTGGGGGCATATCCCCACCCACTGCTCGTCTACGCCTCTGGCAAGTAGCACCGCTTGGTTCGTGCTAAGAGCCGGGAAGGAGGATAGTGGGCCAGGCCGACTCGTTCCTCCTTCGCCTAGCCGTCTGAGGCTCCCAGCGCGCCAGCAGGGACCCAGCCCCGCAACCAAGCCCGACGCTAAATCAGGTTGGAAAGCGGGTGGGACTTGTAGGGGGGACGCAGGTCCGCGAGCGGGAAAACTGTTGATTCCCACCCTTCGCATTCCAACCCCGGCGGTCATCCTTTGGCACCATAAAGCCCAAACTACGCGCACCAATTTCACAAGACACAGAAAATTCTTGTTACCATGCTTCCAGAAGCTGCCCAGCCCATCCCGGCCCCCAGAAACTCTGGCGCATAAAGGCAAATTTATGAGCCTGTTTGCCTATTTCGCAAACAGAAATCCGTCACTTACTGAAAGGCGCCCAGTTACTGCTCCCAAAACCTTTTCCCCACCCCGACTCAATGCCCGGGTGATAGGAGCAGAAAAATTTAAACCTGTCTCTCGCCTCTTTTCTTGTGTGTGTCCTCTGGCAGCAGCAACACGAAGCCTTTCCTCCTGCCCTGGGCCCAGGCGAGAAGAGGATTAAAGGGCGCACAGGCTGGCCGCAGCAAGTCTGGGCGCTGGAGTTAAACCAGTGAGCTGAGGCCGCGCCGAGGACCCCGCCACGGCTGCCCGACCCCGGAGCCCCGGGAGGAGAGGAAGGCGGCGGCGAGGGCCAGGCTCTGGGTGCCAGGGGCTTATAGGGGCGCATCCCGCAGAGCCTCTGCTGCGAGCTGGCAGGTTGCCGGCTGCAACAACACACTTGGATCGCACGTGCAATGTCATTTGAAATTGTTTTTAATACATTAAGAGAAAGAGAAATATATATATATCCACCCCCCCCCCAAACTGAGAGGGCGGCTCTTGGCTGCACAATGCGGGAGAGAGGGACTGCGGGACTCCAGCGCGCTAAAACGCACCCTTCCAACCCTTCTGGGGCGAATTTAGAACCCCCGATGCTTTCTCCACTTTGCCTACTGGCTCTTTTTCTCGTCCTCCTGTCCGCTTTGCGGCAAATCCCCCGAGCGCTCTCTTCCCAAATTAAAATGCAATAAGAGGAATCAATAGTTTTCTGCCAGGGAAAGAGAACCAAACCAGGAAGATGGAGGGCTGCCTTTTGTTGTTCTCCCTCAAACAGTGGTGTTTTATTTTATTTTATTGTCGCTGCACTTCCTATTCAGTTCCAAGGGAAACGCTTTCTCTCCTTCCCTCCTTTCCTTCCTTCCTTCTTTCCTTCCTTCCTTCCTCTATCCCTCTCCCTTCTTCCTTCCTTCCTTCCTTCCTTTGTAAATAAAAACTTTTCTCTATGTTGAAAAGTTTTTATGTATTTAAACTACCTACTATGCCTGCTGCGCTCAGGTGTTTGTTTATCCCCCATCCCTACCCTTTTTCTACCTCAAATCTATAAGACCACTCACTGCCCCCTCCCTTTGCCAAAGCAGTATCTATGCTCTTGACTAATAAAAGATTTTCTGAAATCAGAGGCAGCCTGTGTGATGTCTTGGTGGGTATATCCACTGGCCCCATCATTTCTGCTAGGTGGAGAACCTTCTGTTCTGACTTCTGTTTTGATAAATATTCAGACCAAATTGCAACTCAAGTCGGGAAAGGGGGTAGATAAAGGATTTATTCGTGGGACAAAGAACAAAGTTTTTAGAATATAATGGCTGGCCGGGATAACTTTAGTGAACCCACAGACAGAAAACTGGAAACGAATTAGACCCAGCTAGGACAGGCTAGGATTTATATGGGTCAGCATTTGAGCTTGTGTGTGGGTTAGTATGGTGTCTGCAGGCGGTGTTTTGGGGTTATTGGGAAGGGGGCTTGTCACACAAATAAAGGGCACCCGAGGGCATTGCAACTCGGAGGAGCGGATGCGCTGGGGAATATGTTCACGTACATGAGATTCCTGATCTTATAGATGTGTGCATAGTGGTACAGGAACTCACACGGAGCCCCGCAACTGTGCCGGGGTGGGGGGCGCGGATAATAAGCACAGGGTGTGCCTAGCACAGCTCCCTGCATGCAGTAAGAGCTCGACAGATCATAGCGGCTATTACTTTATCCTTGACTAAAATAAGCTCGTGAGTGCTTATGGTTACACTGAGACAGTTAGGTTTCTTTCCAGCAACAAAGCACTAAACAGGTATTTGTGAGAGAGCATGTGGATTTGTGCAAAGCAATGGAGTGTGTGTGCTTGCTCGTTCGGGCACGTGTGCAGGACAGCTGGTTTCTGTGCCCCCACGGGCACACCCAGGACTGGGTGTGGGAGCGAATAAAAGCGGATGCATTTGCCAAGGCGAGGATGCGTGGAAGGCTAAAGTGGGGCAGGCAAACGCTGGCGTTTACGTATCCCTAAATAACAGTGTACAGACAGCTAGCTTTGCGCGCAACTCTGCGCTAGGCTCGAGGCTAAGCGCTTTCCGTGTCCCAACAGCTCCCACGTCGCGCGAGGGAACGCCCGCTTTGCGGTGTCCGCACGGGTCTCCGCGTTCACTGCCAGGGAGGGGCGCGGACGCACGCGCGGGTCTCCGGGCGCTTTCTTGCTCGGGAGCTGGAGGCCCTCGGGTTGGGGTGTGCGCCAGAAAGGAGACCCCGGGCAGCTCCAGGATCAGGCGTGTCCAGGGCGCCTCGTCCCGGCATCGGGGTGAATATGGGGCCCCATTAGACTCGGCTGTAAACACCCACCGTGGCAGGAGCTGAACGGCTACGCCAGCCCTTCCGGACGCGAAGGAGTTAATAAAAGGTGTTTTATGGGTGCGAGGAAACGGTGGGGGAGGTGTGAGTGTCTCTCTACTCCGACCCCCCTACTTTTTCCTTTTTTCCCTCTCGCCACCCGCCGCCAGATCAAACAGGCCCGCGATTTAACTAGGGCAACACCTCGCGGTAATGAGCGGCCCTGCACACCCCTCCCCCGGCCTCAGTCCCCGGCCCCAGGCCCCAAGGCCCTCAGGGAGGAACAGAAAAGAAAAATCGAGGGGTTTTCTTTTTCTTTTTCCTTTTCTTTCCAAGAGCTGAGAAGCCCCTTAGACATCCTGACACGTATGGAGAAACTGAGGCTCAGGGAGCAAGCCGATCCTGGTTCCTCCACACGGTAGGGGGCCTTATCTGGATTCGAACCCAGGACTCCAGTGTAGTTTCTAGATGGTCCTCTGGCTTTACGCAGAGCTCGGCTCCCTCGACTATTTTTAGCGCCGTGAAGTATCCTAGGCACGGGAGGAATGCGCACCCGGGTCCTGCTTTCCCGGAGCCCTGGCCAGTGAGTGGAGAGAGGGTACCGAGGGGTACCGCCCGAGGCAGCCGGAGCCAAGCTTGGCATAACCATGCCTCCCCAGGAAGCCCCATCCGGCCGGGCCCAAGCCGTGCTTGAGAAGACAGTGGTGGATGGAGCCTCAAATTCAGTTCCAACCATGTGTGGTCCCCATCTCAGGCCTAGGACCTGGGAGCTGAGACAGGGGGCTGCCCCTTGCGGGGGTCACGGGGATGTCCTCGCGCTCTCCCCCAGAACGCCCAAGCCACACTTGCAGTCCTCCCTCGCCGGCTGGCAGAGCCCAGCCCCCAGGCCGCGGCGGACTTGCTCCGGGTTTCACAAACCAGTCTGCGCAGGGGGTCTCCGGGCTCGGGCTCCCGGGCTTGTCTCCGCCGCCGGCTCTCCAGCCTCTCACCTTTCGTGAGCGCTCCCTCCATGGAATGGCTTTAGAGCCTGGCGGGTGCTTCCTCATTCTCTCCCAGGGTTCAACGCGGTTTGTCGGAAACCTACCTCAATCCCGCAGAGGCAGAAACAGTGTCATTAGTATTTTTGAATTAAGAACATCACTTTTTTTTTTTTTTTAAATATCAAGGGGGGAAATGGAATGGTCGCTGACTTAAAAGTAAATTCCAGGTATTTATTGTAAGGGAGTAGTCACTGATGTTACAAAGCTTTAACGCCAGGACTATTCTACTGAAGAGTGAAAAATACAGAAGGACCCGATGTGTTATAATTACAGAACTGGTTAAATAAATCCATCAGTGCAGTGGGTTACTACACAGCCACTGGAAAAAGTGTGGGAATTGACATGGAGATTGTTCATGATATATTAAGTGGAGGAAAAAAAAAAAACAAAAAACCCTCCCGGGTTGCTAAAGACAGTTTATCCAGACCCTGCTTTATGTAAAACTAACTAAATAGCATTCGTGGAGAAAAAGTGGAAGAATATACATCAAAACATTTACACCTCTACCTCTGAGTTTGGGGAATAGGGATAATTTTGACTTTTCCTTTTGCTGAGCTATATTTTTCTACATTTTTAAACAATGAATAAGTATTACTTTTACAATCAAAAACATTATGCTGCCGTTGCCTTCTAATTTCTCCAGTGGCCAGTGTACTTTTGGTACACTTTATTCAACATACATGAATTGAGCACCCACCTGGTGCTAGGCACTGTGGGTATCAATATAAGAATATGAAAGGATCCTAATAATCACCACCCATTAACATACAATAGTAAATATTTGTTGTGAAGAGTTTTATTATTCCTTCCACGCAGTAAATAGAATCTTTTCTTACGTTTATTTTTTTTCTTTTCTTACATTTAAAACCTATTAATGCATGAAATAATCATAACAACAACTAAAATTTGTAGAGGAAATTATTTAAGCCCTTAGCATGCATTATTTCATTTAAGCCTCATGAAGATTGCATGAGGTTAATACTGAGGCAGCTGGGCTCCGGAGAGGTGAAGGACTTCGTTCAAGGTCACACAGACAGTAAAAGGTGGGTTGGCTCGGATCAAAGGGCATCTCTGTCTGCCTCTGGTGACCTGGCTTTTCCCCACATCTCAGAGCACCTCCAAGATGTGTGTGTGTGTGTTCATACAAATAAAGCCATCTCAGTCGGATCTTTCTTGGCCCCCAAAGTAAGGTGGTTTAGAAAGAAAGGAGGGGGTTTGGGAAGGAATCTGGATTCTAACCCCAGCCTTCACCAGTAACTCTCTTCCCCTTTCCCAGCTCAGAGTGGATCCCATCTATAATGTGAGGAAGGTGGTAGGCTTCTTGACCTCTGGGTTTTCTCCTGACTGTAACACTCTCACTCCAGGAATCTACTTTCTGCTGGTGAAAACAGCATGTTATTCTTTGTCCCAGCCTCTGATATTCATCTTTCCTTGGAACTTCCACTTCTCCAAGCATGTTTTTCTCCCCATAAACTAGAAGGGTTCAGTGAAGGAATCCTGCTCCTGACAGGAAGAAGGGAAGGTGAAATGACCAGCTCAGGGTCACACATCCAGTCAAAGACTGAGCTAGTGAGCTAGGATTAGAAGGACGTCTGAAGGCTTCAGGCCCCCCCCCCCCACTCCCCCCACCCCCGCTCCCTTGGAAAAGGCTCTGGATCCATTCTCGTCATGCAACCAACAGTTAAGCTTATGGTCTTGCTAAATCCCCATAAAAGAAACGAAACTAAGAAATCAGCAAGTCTCATTTTTAAATGAAAAGTGACTAGGAAGAAAAAATATGCGGGGTCTGAAGTGTCTGAAACCAGCCTCCTGATTTAAACCTAATTTGTTTGAAAAAAAATTTTTTTTTCAGCCAAGGGAGTTTTTACAGCTGAGCTCTCCCAAACCCATAAAAAACAAGGTTTATATGGGAAATAGTGAAAGACTCTTGACTATAATACACAGCGTCTAATATAAGCAGACAGACACTATATACAGCTCCCACAAATGTTATTCAAACAAACAGAAATGCACATTTATCCCCACAGAACGGACAATGGAAGTCATTGGACTTTCAAAGAGTTCCGGAAGTCCTATTTTCACAGAAATGTTCAGAGCACCCCATAACACTGGGACCTCAAAGATCCTTACCCACCATCCAAACATTTCCCTCATTTTACAGGAAGGGGAAACCGAGGCCCATAGAATGGAGGGACTTGCTCAAGGTCACGGCGGGGAATTTTATTCTTTTCCCCGTGTTTACTTTCAACTTTTAGTGCAGGATATAGAACAATACAGTGGCCAAGAGACTCTGGACAAGTGACTGAACATTTCTTTTTTTTTTTTTTTTTTAAAGATTTTATTTATTTATTTGAGAGAGAGAATGAGACAGAGAGCATGAGAGGGGAGGGTCAGAGGGAGAAGCAGACTCCCCGCCGAGCAGGGAGCCCGATGCGGGACTCAATCCTGGGACTCCAGGATCATGACCTGAGCCCAAGGCAGTCGCTTAACCAACTGAGCCACCCAGGCGCCCCTGACTGAACATTTCTGAGCCTTGTGTCCTCACCTACAAACTAGGAGAGATCATGACCCCAACTTCCTGGGCTGTGTGAGGACTGAATGAGATAAGGCATGCAAAATAGTGCATTGTCCCTGGTAGATCTATTTTTATGATTTTATTTCACCCCCACAATAGCCTGTGAGGCGTTGAGGATTTATTTTGGTTTGTTTTCTTGTTTTGGAAAGGTCAGGGCACACAGGTCCCCC